TGGTACATGAACTGGATATTTGACTGTGTATGGTACAGTCTTCTCAACTGGATATGGAACTGGATGTGGTACTGGATAAGGTGTTTCCTTGTGGATGGTGATGTGCTTAACATGTCCTTGAGTTTGAATGCTTCCTCCAAACCCTCCTTCTCCTCCTCCAAATCCACCTGAACCAAGTCCTCCGCCTAATCCATGTCCCAAATCTCCACCAAATCCTCCTCCAAATCCATGTCCTAAATCTCCACCAATATCGCCACCCAAATCATGTCCTCCAAAACTACCTCCTCCATAGCCCAAATCCAATAGTCCTCTCTTTTCCTTTTTGTCGACTAAGGTTTTCCTATCAACCTTCTTCTCGCTCGCTTGAACAAGAACTAAGGCCGAAAGTACTGCGACTACCCAAAGCTAGAAAATAATATGTTATTATTTACTATTTTAATCCTATAATGTACATGTTACTTGGAACTTCATATTGATACTGATGAGAGATTGAACAATGACTGTTAACTTCTGGGAAGATATGGTTACTATTTATACTCAATGTGAAATCCCCACTAGCATAAATTAGTTATATGAATTCAACTGACGCTGATTACTCATCCGTACTTCTTCTGTGCAAAAGGAACGCACACTCTTCACCATCCAAATATGTGAATTATTCAACGTGAATGATATAATAATATCAATTGATTAAGTTTTAATATAATTATACAATATCAATAACTTTAGTATCTACACTTTTCTAAGAACGCAATTAAAACAAATCGGTTATTAACAATAATAATATTTATTGAAACAGTAAAACTACAAAATTAAAAAAAAAATAATACAATAATATAAATATCATAAATCAAAAAAAGGCAACTGTTTCAAAGGGCTATTGACCATAGGTCTTTCTGTCCAGTTAATAATATTAATACATGAATCCCCTCTTTATTAATATTCGACAATAGTAATTCTAAATGCAATGAAGGTTTATTAAATTAAGCTTAAAAATTTGCTACCAATCTTCCATAAATTTTCAGTTATAATTTATCAATTCCTTCTTTACTAGCAGAATTTAAATAATAATGTTTGTAATGAAGAATATGTTAAGTGTAAGAAATGAAATGTTAACATATCGATTATTATCTCTGAACTTATTTGATAATCGTGTATTATAAATCATTTAATATTATCATGAAATACTTTGCACCTTACAATATTTTAAGAAGATAAAGTAAATAAAAATTATTAATATTGACAATAATATGTAAATAGGAATAATGAAAAGAATCTCGAAAAAGTATGAATAAAAAGTAATCACCTCTGCATCATTTATATTTGAAAGAGTATTAAAAATTTAATAATTATACTCTAAGACATGATAGTGATTAAATCAGTATTATCATTTATTTTATTTCACGGTTAGATCATATTAATTACGCAAATAATGATTATTTATTTTCTATAATTTCATATAAACAGTCTATAGTTATATAACCATAGTTATTTACATTAGAAATAGCTAGCATTATTTTAGTTTTGCTAGTTTCTAAATAGAAGTTAATATGTAAATAGGAAAATTATATCTAAATTAATGAAACTATGTTGACTTTTCTTTGAAATATTTATTGACTATAAATAGGTAGTTGAAAGAAAGAAAGGTATTTGTTCTTATTTACATTTAATATAACTGTAAATTTGGTATACAATTGTTGGTACAATTATTACAAAATGATGACAATTTTAAAAATAGCAGTCATTGTTTCTAGTGGTGTCCATATCCATGTCCTCCACCGAATCCGCCTCCAAATCCGCCTCCAATTCCTCCACCATATCCTCCTCCAATTCCACTATCATGTCCTTTAACGTAGATTGGAATATGCTTATGTACGATGACTGGTACCTTGACTGGGTATGGGACTTGCTTGTGAACAGTGTATGGAACTGGTTTTGGAATTGGTACTGGGTATGGATGTGGGACTGGTACCTTTACAGGTACACTGACTGGGTATGGGACGGTCTTTTCAACAGTGTATGGTACTGGTTTATCTACTGGGACTGGGTATGGTTTTGGTACATGAACTGGGTATGGCTTATCAACTGGTACATGAACTGGATACTTGACAGTGTATGGTACAGTTTTCTCAACTGGATATGGAACTGGATGTGGTACTGGATAAGGTGTTTCCTTGTGAATGGTTATGTGCTTAACATGTTCTTGTGTTTCAATGCTTCCGCCCAATCCTCCTCCTCCAAATCCACCTGATCCAAATCCTCCTCCTAATCCATGCCCTAAACCTCCTCCAAATCCATGTCCCAAATTTCCTCCACTTCCACCACCTAAATCATGTCCTCCAAAACTTCCTCCTCCATATCCCAAATCGAATAATCCTCTCTTTTCCTTTTTGTCGACCAATGTTTTCCCATCAGCCTTCTTCTCGTTCGCTTGAACGAGAACTAAGGCCGAAAGTACTGCGACTACCCAAAGCTGAAAATTCATTTTATTATACAATTATTTGTAATCCTAGTATGCACTATTTACTTGGACCTTCATGTTGATGTTGTTTAGGGTGAACAATGACTGTTAATGTCGAAAGGATCTTGAAAGTATTTATACTTTACTCGAGCGCTACGGTAGGAAACGGTCAAAATACACATTTCTTATCCCCCCCAATAAAAAAATAATTTTAATTATTTTAACAGTTAGATGTATTCAAGTGAATCTGGTTGCTCATCCATGCACCGACCAACAATGATGCAGTATGCACATTGAGCAATGAAATTACATAATGCATATTGGATAAATTGTTCTGTAACTAAGTATAAGGTATTTGTTATATGTAATGAAAGAAAGTGAATGACAAACTAATAGATAGATATATGCATTCATGAGTTATAATTTAGCATTACAGTACAAACTAATCAATAATACAAATTAAATTAAGTTGCATTATAATTACAACATTCTAATAATTTATTATATAATTATTAAATATGATTGTATGCAGTGCATTATTCTATACTAATTGATATCATATTATATTAATATGAATATATTAAATACTACAATATATACATTTAATTATTTAACACTGACCATATTTTAGTGTATTTTCAAAAGAAGTCTACCACAACTTTATTTTACTTCTATAATCACGGTCCTATTTTTGTCACATTTTCGACCTATGCAAAGCAGTGAATTTATTTTGGTGAGATTCGAACAAGTCACTTTCGTATCGTATATTAGATAAAAAAAATCGGCCCTTCCATGAAATTTCCGAAAACTTGGCTGTTGCCTACGCTGCTGCAAATATAGCAAATTTCAGCCGTGTTTTACGGTATTACAAAAAATATAGTAATATTCTAAACAGTGCAAGTTTTCTCCTAACATTAAGGGTGAGAATTATGTAATGATTTATACCAACTTTATAGGAATGTCATGCGTTTATTTAAAAAGAAATATCTCGTCATATTTGTTCAAATTGTATCTTTATAAAAAGAAATAAACTTTTTGTAGAACATAATTTAATACATAATGTTTATTAAGAAAAACACTGACAACTTATTTCACTCAATTATTAATCAAATTATTTTCTAAGGTACGTTAAATAATTACAAATTATTTATCGAATACAGAAAGATCAAACATATTATTATTATTTATAATATTGCACGTATTTCTAAAATGATGTTGAGTTGTTGTTTTCATTGAATATTTGAACCGGGTTCCCTGCAACTCTATATCAGTGTTGCGATGAGCCTCGGAATGGACCTAAATATATGTGGGTAGTATACAAAGGATAGTATTACGTCTGAAGATTATCGGATTTATTAAGTGTATTAAAATAATAACATGAATATAGGTGGATTAAATAAAAACGTATATTTTATAGTGTATTCCTTATGATCTTTATTATTTACAATTTATTAAACAGACAATTTGGTAACAAGTAGTTTTTGGTAGTATTCGTGCATAAAAAGACTGAAATTATGAATGGAACAGTCATTGATCTTAATGGTGTCCAAAGCCAAGGTCGTGTCCTCCTCCAAATCCGCCTCCATAACCACCACCGAATCCTCCAAGACCTCCACTAAGTCCATCATCGTGTCCTTTAACGTAGATTGGAACCTTCTTGTGAACGATGACTGGTACCTTGACTGGATATGGGACTTGCTTGTGAACTGTGTATGGAACTGGTTTTGGAATTGGTACTGGGTATGGATGTGGGACTGGTACCTTTACTGGTACACTGACTGGATACGGGACGGTCTTTTCAACAGTGTATGGAATTGGTTTATCGACTGGGACTGGGTAAGGTTTTGGTACATGAACTGGGTATGGCTTATCGACTGGTACATGAACTGGATATTTGACTGTGTATGGCACAGTCTTCTCAACTGGATAAGGAACCGGATGTGGTACTGGATATGGCGTTTCCTTGTGAATGGTAATGTGCTTGACATGTCCCTGGGTTTCGATGCCGCCTCCAAATCCGCCGCCGCCGCTTCCAAATCCACCTGATCCAAATCCATGTCCCAAATCTCCGCCAAGTCCTCCTCCTAATCCATGTCCCAAACCTCCTCCAAATCCATGTCCCAAACCTCCTCCAATTCCACCACCCAAATCATGTCCTCCAAAACTTCCTCCCCCGTAACCTAAATCGGATAAACCTCTTTTGTCTTTCTTGATGTTACTTTCCGTCTTCTTCTCGCTCGCTTGAGCGACAACTAAGACGAAAAACAAAGCGAACACACGAGGCTAAAAAAAATATATTAATTAATATTTTTATCTATACTATTTTTGAACAAATATACTTGGAAGTTCATGTTGATGTTATATTGGGTGAACAATGACTGTTAATCTTTTCGAACATCAGTGAAGTATTTATAGTTAGTTTTTTTTGTGAAGTGGTGGGAAATAATTATAAAAATAATACTTTTCATCCCCTCTCATAAAATACATTAATTCAAATTACCACAATTACTTATACTTATTCAACTGAACCTGATTGCTCATCCATACTAAAACCAGCAATGTAACAACATGCATGTACATTATTAAGATGAAATACATAAGTTACTTAATACATATACTCTGAAATGATGCAATCTTATTCCTATAGATTATTTTTTTTGAAAATGACTGTGAAGTATTTAAAAGAAAAGTGAAATTCTTGCGTAACTTAAAATTACTCAGATACATAATAATTAACGTACAGTCTAAATTTCTAATTACTTTTTCTTCTTAAATATAAAGACGACCTATTGAATTAAATCCAACCTATATATTTTCAGTATATTGAAATTCATTAACCACGCAGCAAAGTTCATCAGAAGAACGTTACTTATTTTTATAAACTGTCAAGCAAAAAAATCTGATAAACATATTTATTCTATATTTCATTTTTTTATATGTTTTCCTGAATGATGTAGTTCAAAATGTATCTATTCGATTAGTTGTATTTTTTAAACAATTTGTGTACTTAAGAAAAATCAAAGTGTATAAACTATTTTATATATCATATATAGTTCTCAGGCGCTTAAAGCATAGACGAACCAGAAGAAGGCGGTAATAATCAAATGAAACCTTTGGCCTCTTTGATTTCTTGAAGAGGCGGCGCAAATATTGCAATATATCCTTGGTTATGATTATAATCATATTTGTGTGATTTGTATAATACTTTCATATACAAAATTGTGATATTTTTAATAAATAATAATATTAGAAATGGAGGAAAAGACGAAAATCATACTTAGTCAAAATAGAAGTTTATTAAAATGTAGTATTTGTGACCAATACTTTTATATTACTACTATTACATCATGGTCGGAAGCGTTTTGGTTATTTATATATATTTATTTACGCACATCTAATAGTTGTTTTTTTAAGGAAATGTGTGTATCCTTTTTATTATTTATCAGAAGATGTATAGAAAAAATAGTAATAATAAGAATAATCAGAAATACATGTTCTTATTTTTATTATTTACAATCAATTACAGAAAATTTGGTATAAAAATGTTGGTAGAGCTAGTGCGACATTTGGAAATTGAAGATTTTCGGTGGAACAGTCCTTGTTCTTAATGGTGTCCAAAATCAAGGCCATGTCCTCCTCCGAATCCACCTCCATGTCCACCACCAAATCCTCCTCCGAATCCACCTCCATGTCCACCACCAAATCCTCCTCCAAAGCCTCCGCCAAGTCCACTGTCGTGTCCCTTAACGTAGATTGGAATTTTCTTGTGAACGATGACTGGTACTTTGACTGGATATGGGACTTGCTTGTGAACAGTGTATGGGACTGGTTTTGGAATTGGTACTGGGTATGGGTGTGGAACTGGTACCTTTACAGGTACACTGACTGGGTATGGGACGGTCTTCTCAACAGTGTATGGGATAGGTTTATCAACTGGGACTGGGTATGGTTGTGGTACGTGAACTGGATACGGTTTATCGATTGGCACATGAACCGGATATTGAACTGGGTATGGTACAGTCTTCTCAACTGGAACTGGAACCGGATGCGGCACCGGATACGGCGTTTCCTTGTGGATGGTGATGTGCTTCACATGTCCCTGTGTTTCAACACCACCTCCGAATCCGCCACCTCCAAATCCGCCGCCTCCAAATCCACCGCCCGAACCGCCATGCCCGAATCCTCCTAATCCACCTCCAAGATCGTGTCCTCCGAAGCCACCACCTCCTCCATAACCCAAATCAAACAACCCCCTTTTGTCCTTCTTGTCAGTTACAGTTTTGCTTTCCGCCTTCTTCCCACTCGCAAAAGTGACAACTAAGACGACAAAAAAACTGACAACACAAACCTAAAGAGCAAATAAATTTAGTAAAATAACAAATTCATGATTCTAATACTTACTTGGAACTTCATTTTAGTTAATGTTGTTGTTGAACAAAGACTGTTGATGTTCTCGACGATTTTTGCAGTATTTATACCTCATCATTGCGGAGTGGTAGGAACTGTCCAAAAAATTAGCTTTCTACCCCTACTCATGAAGAAGAAAAAAATTAATATACCGCGTTGCGTGTATTCAACCAAAACAAACATTCTCATCCATACATAACCGACTAACAATGCACCATCCAACTGAATAACTGCATAAAAATGCAAATGCAAGTATTCACTCGAGTATGAAACAATTAACGCGAGAAAAAGTTGCCCTTGGATTTGGTAAGACATGGAAGAAGAAGAAAAACTCGCGCATCGTGATGGAAAAGGAAACACGCACGTACAAACAGGAGCTTTTGCAACGAAAAATTTTCCTGGCCATCGCTCTACGTAATATCAGATTATACGAATCCAACGCACTAAATATAATTATATTTAAATTATTGTTACAACAATTCACATTTAGATTGCAAGAGAAAGCCAATATTTTTACATATTGTTCCAGTGATTTATCAAAACTCCTTTTGTTTACGCAACGTAACTATATCAAATGCAATATAGGAAGTACATTTTATTTTCTCAAAACCTCTTTGATAATTAAACTTCCAACTAATTTATTGACGAAGTTACATAAATTTACTGAATTAACTCATTTTCCATCTGGTGTTATTGATAAGACAAAATTATCATAAAACAAACAACAAACGTATAATTTCTCTTTTATGTAATTGGGAACAACATTTTGTTGCTGACTTTAAAATTTAAATTTGTATATAAGTTTTAAATGATATTCAAACAACCCTCTCTAAAAATATATTGAGAGAGATTTATAAAACAGTGATTTGTATAAATAATTTGCGTTTAAAAATAATATAATTAAAGATTTTCTCAAATTTTCAGGACTAATTTCTGATATTTGATAAGTGATTTCAATATAAAAACAACATAAGTTAGATGAAAATGTCGATTCTTGAATATCGAGCAATATATTATAATGTATAAATCATATAATCATTTAGTTTGTTTAATTTACGAAATACCGAATGGTAATGTTATTATTCTAATATTATGAAATATCATTGATTCCGGCAACTAAAGGTTGTAAACGAGTGGGTGAAAAGTAATCTCAAGTAAAATGCTATCCACGCAGTTTGATTTCGAAAGGTTAATACGATATACATTCGATTCAAGTGTGAAGAAAGGTCTCATTTATAAAAATAACAATAATTGGAGCCATTGCGGTTATTTTGTTTCTTCTTCTCGGACATAATAAGAATAAAGGAAATAAGCATTGAAAGTTGTTTTCGAGCAAAATGTTTATAGAAAACACTTATAATAGTAAATGGTGTGTACCTCCCTTCACTGTACAAGAAATAGAAGCAACAGGAAGCGAGAGACTGCGGAAAAATGCGCTCCAATTCTCTTCCCCGGTCATTTCATTCATTTTAAGATCAAATCCTTTTGCAATGAAAAATTCAGAAATTCAAATACTGTGACAAATTTGCGAAATCAGGACGAACGAGATGGGAAAATCCGTTTAAATATGTGTTCTTTTTTTTTCGCGACGAAGCTTTCTCTTATTCTACAGACTTAAACTACATTCAAATCTAGATCACACCAAAATTAGAATCATCACATTACGAGCATTTTTTTCCCATACATCAAACGCTATTGATTCACATGCTCTCAGACAGTATTTAATACATAATGCAAAAAGTGCAACAGTTAAGTAATTATGAATTTTAAATTCAAATAATTTAATTTAATTATGAATTGAGGCAAAAAGGTCGATAGCCATTTAGTTCAATAATAATTTGTAATTAAAATATAAACTGATTAAATGCTTCGATTATTTTAATAAGTTTATTCGATAATTTGCTAATGTTGTTTAGTTATTAGAATTAGTTATCTAGTTTGATATCAAAAACGAATTACCTATTAATATATGATATTATATTTAAATAAAAATTGTAGAAATATATACAAAAAATATTTATTTTCTTGTTTTTCTGTGAATAATTTTGCTTCTAATAAGATTGCATGACGGAGGATTTATCAGGAAGTCCGTGCGAAAGGAAGTCAGATGTTAATAGGAAAAAATGACTTAAGTGTATTTTTAATTTAGATTTTCCACGGGTTGGTTAGAAACTGTTAATAACTGCAATTACCTAAGATTTTATTATTGGCAAACCTTTACGTAACCGTGTAATGCCTTTACGCTCCTATTCTTGGGCAGACGGATTTTTGTATTTTCCATGCGCCATGGCTTGGTGGAAAGATGTGGTCGACAGCAGATTCCTAATTAAAATTACAATGTAATCGGCGAAGCGTGTGGACTGGAATGATTGTTGATTATTCCTACTTGTTCCCCCTTATTTTCTTTTAATTATTATTCGTTTTGTATTACTAAAATGGCGAAAGTGTTTAACTGCAACTATCTCCATAATATGGGAAGGGTGTTTTAAGAATTGTATATATAAACCGGACGTTTCTCATTATTCCCTAGTACAGTTGCATCTTCATATTCAGCAACATGAAGCTTCTGGTATAACGATAACAGCAAATATACATTTTGGTTGTTTATATATTTTTTGTTGCAGGTGTGTTTGCTCATTGCTATATCAGTTACCGCTGGTCAGGATAAGAAGAAACGTGGGATCGTTTATGGAGGTGGCCATGATTTGGGAGGCAATGGAGGAGGCGGCGATTTAGGAGGACACGGCGTAGGTGGAGCAGATTTGGGAGGTCATGGTGGTGGATTTGGAGGAGGACAGGGTGGTTTTGGAGGTGGATTAGGAGGAGGATCAGGTGGAGGAGGTGGACATGGAACCATCAGCCACATCACATTGACCAAGAATATACCATACCCTGTCCCACATCCAGTTCCATACACTGTTATCAAGAAAGTACCATATCCAGTAAAAGTACCAGTACCATACAAAGTGGACAAACCATATCCAGTTCACATTCCCAAACCATACCCAGTCCACATCGACAAGCCAATTCCCTACAAAGTAATCAAAAATATCCCAGTTCACGTGAGTGTACCAGTAAAGGTACCGGTTCCATACAGAGTCCCAGTTGCCATCCCAAGACCATACCCAGTCAAAGTAACCAAAACCGTCCCAGTTCACATCCCAGAAACCATCATCGTTAAGAAACCAGTACCAATTTTCATCAAGGGAGGCGGTAATGATGGCGGCTACGGAGGTGGCAGTGGATACGGAGGTGGAAGCATCGGTTACGGAGGCGGCGGCGGTCACGAAGAATTATCCGGAGGTGGAGGATACAGTTCCGGAGGAGGAGGATACAGCTCCGGAGGAGGAGGATATAGTTCCGGAGGTGGCGATCACGGATATTCATCAGGAGGTGGATCTTACCATTAGAGCAAATGATACATGTGATACTCATACATCTTGTAAATACTTCATCATCCCATTTGTATTGTATATCGCAGCATGGAAATTATGATTTTAGTATTAAGTAGGGCACAATGCAATGTGAATGGATTAGCTCCGGTATCGAGAATTTCCATTTCATTTGCAATACCAGAAGATATTCAATTGTTTCTATGCAACTTACCGCTCTTTTCTTTTTCTCATAAGAAACGAACGTCAAATTACATTTTTTTCCCTTCAATTATGTGATTTCGTACAATGGATTTGCATTGCCATCGCATTGTCTTCGAGATACTTTCCAGAAAAAAAATCTTCTCTTTGTAATAAATCATACTACCTTAGTCCCGTTACAATTATTAAATAAATTTTAATCAGAATTTATCGTCCTTATTTATGGACCAGCTTTCTGATCATTATTCATTAATCCTCGAGCAGCACACATTGCGTGCGCTCGAATATTGTTGTTGTTGTTTTTCAGATTAATTCTTTATGCACTGATTTTTTTTAAACAAAATAAATAAAAAATACACAAGATAATTTTTGGGTTTACATCATCATTTCCTTTTTTTATATAATATCTAGATATATTTACAATCTATCACTAAATGAACTAAATAAAGTTGTTGGCGAGAAAATTGACTTCTAGATGCGAAATTCAACAGTATTCATATACAGTGGAACCTCGCATAACAAGAAATTTGCTTAATGAGCAAAATTAATTGTAAGAAAAATGACTTGCTGACGAGCGACGTTTCGCATAGAGAGTGACGTTGAGAAGAGAAGTCCCGGATTGCGCTCTTGCTACATCATTCTGCACGAGTTTTTGATGCAATTTAATCATTTATATAATTTGGATAAAATTAGTAACAAGACTATTAGTAAATCATTAACATTTTCTCACACTTCTTTATCATTTATCTTTATTTCGCATTATCACAATATGGAACATTTTATAGAATAAACATTTCTTCCGTAAAATTAGTAAATATATGATAAGTAAATCTATTGTTTGTTTTTCAAATTATATACGAACACTTTTAAATAATACACCCTCTATAACCTGGTCACCTTCCCAAACATCCTCGAATTCATTAAAAAACTCCAAGGCCGACTCGCTTCACGCATAGCCCTTCAAGATCACCCCACCCTCTCACTCACTCTCAAATCCAACCCTACCCCCTTAGGGGCAACATTCTCCAAAGTCCAAAGGAAAAAATCCCTCACCCCCCTGCCGTGCTGGCGTCCTACGCTAACTCCAACGACCCCACATTAATGCAACTTCTCCAAGACTTTAAAAAACACTCCCCCTCAGTGATGTAAAACATCGTTTTTTCGTGCAGTGAAGTGATTTACTATGTTACTAATATTATGTGTGTTCTATCTCTGTTTGTTTTCTGTTATTATTGTTGATGTTTTTTTTTTTTTTGTAAAACTTTCTGTTATTAGAGGCTGAAAGAGGCTAAAGCCCATAACAGTCTGCATTTTTGTCCCTATATTATGTATTATTTAAATTTTATAAATAAATAATGATGATGATGTTTAAATAATAATTTGGTTTTTGTTTCATAGATTATTCTTAGTAGTTTTATTTTGCGGTTTTTATTAAATGTATATGTATCATCATAGCTGTACAATATTTGACAATTCACAATTTCATACAAATATTTTGCTGCATCATGCAAGAAACCGTGAATAATTATAAGTGAACGGATACAATTAATACATCGTCAAAGATTGTTTTACATGTTATAGCCCCTGGCTATTGACCTACATGCAAAGATGTT